AAAATATACATATGAGCTATGTATGCATTCCACGAGGGATTGTAGTAATAAACTTTGGCAACATGCACGTATTCAGGATACGATTAAAGGATACGGGTATGGATGGGCGGCAATGTAGAAAATACCGTTTGTTTAGTTTTAGAACTAAAAGAAAAATGTATAAAACTCATCATTATCTCAAGCGTCAAGTGCTATAGAAATAAGTCAAAGAATATTTTGGGACGAGTATTCTTACCATTCCTGCTACTATAAACCTTGGTGAAGCCCTTGAAGGGTTCCGGTGGCGGAAAACTCGACACGGTATGAAACATATCAGAAAATCGCGTTTCCAGGTCAACAGAACCAGCTTGAGCGCCGCCGTTGCGGACCGACAGACTTCTGGTAGGAGGCGTCGGTGGCGGTGGCGGCGGCGGTGCCAGTCTTTGATGCGTGGGTGCGGGACGATGAGGAAGCGGTGGTGGTGGTGGCGGTATACATGGCGCGGTCACCGTGATCCTCGACGGTGGCGGCGGCGCCGCTCTCATAGCTGTCACGGGCAACGTGTACGACCGCGAGGCCGGTGGTGCTGGTGGCGATGGTGGTCTCGTCGTAGGCATGATCGCTCGTGAGATCGGCGGTGACGGTGGCCTTGTCACGGGAGGCCTGAGAATTCGATTCGCGGGTCTCATGGGCTGTGGCGTGGTGGCCTCATTTAAACAATCCTGCGACTGGTGCAGAGAAGACGGTGTTGTTGGCACCAAGACTGGTGGCGATCGCGGTAATCGCATGCTTTGTGCTCTTGCCACGCTCGCACTACTCGTTAAGTTCAGCTTTTTAGGCGGCGGCGATGGTTTGTGCAAGGTGGCAGACGACATTGGTTTAGGCACAATGGTTGATTTCCCGAATCCTCTGGGCGTGACCTCCGGAGTGCTCGTCGCGGAATCGGTGCTGCTTTGCCCCTGTGCGAGATTAAACATTTTTACAGATATATGCACGATATATGTGAGAACCAATTAAGCAGGTCGTTTTCTACCTGACTGAATAACTGCGGTTTCTGCGCGGCTGGTGGCGGAACTGGTGGCGGGCCGCGTTTTACACTGTGGGACGACCCGGGTGACGAGTGAAGAAAACTAGAATTATTTACACTTTGTCTCTCTTTCTCGGTCATGTGTCCTCTCAGTCCTGTAGGTTTTAATTTTGGCATACCACCCGCGAATAAACCGCCGAGCGACATGGGCCCACCATTACTAGAATTAGAACTGCTGCTGCTGATTGCACTAGAACTATTAGTTCTACTATTGTTATTGCTTAATGAAGAGCTCGATGATTCGGCTTTTATTCTCCCTGCGAAACAAATGTTTCTCATTATAGTTCCTGACTTTTCACAACAATCGCTTTATACATTTTTGCTTTTGAATTTAATAGTTGTATGCAGACCTAAGGTGCTTTTTAGCAAAAAACAAACGACACTGTGTAACACAGTGAAATATCCTTGTTGTTTGCCAATGTTAAACGTAGATGAAATAATTCGCTGCGTTACTCTGGCTGCTTTCCTTTTGGAAACATAGTCGACATAAACATCAATTAATCTATCCTTCTTGGTATTCAATGAATCCTTCTTTGGTATTCAATGAATAACAAATGACGCTTACATCGACTGTGTCTCTTAAAAGAAAAGCAGCCAGTGTGAAACAGTGAATCATTTCATCTTTATTATAACACTGACAAACAACAATTATTAATTTTACTGCGTCTTTTACTGGAAAACTCAAGATGCGAGCAAGTGATAGATAAAGTTTGAGCAAATTCTTGTGTCATATATAAAAAACAATTAAAATTATATTGTATGCGCAATTACATGTATTGCCAGGGACTTTCCATAAATGACACAATAGTTGACCATTGTCTATCATACGCTCTTGCTCGGGCTGATATTTATAGTTGATTCTTATATTTAAGACTGTCTTGAGTAGTTTCAAGTCGCAAATCAATCATAGAATACATAGAAACATCTTGAGACATGACTTTTATTACTTAAAACTTGAAATAAACTATGGATATTGGCCACAAAATTGTATTAACCTCTTAGACTATCTTAAGACTACTTAAGATAGTCTTATAGTAAGAATTAACAATGAATATCATCCAGAGAGCTGTATTAGCATCTTAAGACATTATCATTTAAGATGGTCTTAAAATAAGAACGGACTATGAGTGGTATTGATAGTTCTTTAGTAATGTCTTAAAATCAGCATCTTAAGTAATGTCTTAAGATGCTGATACAGCCTTCTGATTAGCTTTTGACATCTGAAGACTACACTCAAGACAGTCTTAAATATAAGAATCGATTATGCTATTCCATGAAGTTATGAACACCGCCCTTAGTGTTATATAATTTAATTTCGATAATTTACCAGCAATTGCAGGTACGCTCTTATCCACAGTAACAGTCTTCTTCAGAGTTTTGCCTGCTCTTATAGACTGTAGTAATAAACCTCTGTTATCGCCCATCGGCGGGCCAGCAGAAGCGCCAGCCTGCGGAGGCGGTGGCGGTGGTGGCACAGACATTCTTGCTATCCTCCTGCAAAAAATAACCAAAATAACCAAAAATGTAACACCGATTTCACTTTATTACAGGAAAGAGAAAGAGGGACATATATAAAATACAGATTTGTCAACAGGAAAGTGTCAAATATATCGCGATACAACAAATATATATCTATGAAATCTATCTCTAATTTGACGGCTATTATTTACGGTTTACGATTTCGGTTCGTTCCACCGAGATGTGTCATTCGCTGGGGAGGGGAGAGCCGGGGGAGGGAGGAGGGATCGCCCGTTTCCGTATTCGGAGCGCAGGTAGAGAAGATGATCCAGGAGTCAACGGAGCCCTCTCCCCCGGGAGGCGGGGGGGGGTCACGCGGGCGACCGGTGCGGACCCCCGCTGATGAATCCCAATGAATCCCTCGGATCCACGGATTAGATTTTTCTCACGACAAACTCACACGCGTACGCGCGTGCGGAAGAGAACTGAGAAGAGGGCCGTGTTCCTCTTCGCGCGGGCACACACCTCGGCAGACGCTTTTTATCTTTATCGCTGCTCTCTACGCGACGTCAAGAGCGCGATCCGCGCGGACGGACGGACGTTACGGGATGCGAGCGATTACCGGATTAGACGGCGGTCGTTGATGCGTTTCACGTCCGGAGGAAGGACCCGCGGCCGATGGTACTCATGATTAAAAAAGGGGGTCTGGCTGGCTGGATCCGCGCCTACACGTTCCGCGGCTGTGCGACACGGCGACGTAGATCATGGCGTCATCAAGGATCCATCGAGGTTGGGGGCAGTTGGGGGTTCGTCGTTTGGCTCCGCGCGCGCCCGCCCGTCCGTTTTCCAGCTGACTTCCAGAGCCCTCTTTACGTAGATAAAAACGAAAACGTCTTTCCTCCCGAAAAACGGATATTATTATTTATCGTAGCACTTAGCAAGTTATTTCGAAGACAAAACATTTTTTGAGGTCGTAAGTAATCCAAATATAATATGACTGAAATGCTTCAAGCTCGTCTAGTTAATTATTTAAAATATTAGTGGCTATTTAAAAATAACCTAAAAAGTTTTAAAAAACTTTCCGTATTTTTGTAAAAAATAATTACTTTGTGTTAATTTTTTTTTAGAATAGAATAGAATTTTGTTAATGTTATTTCCAAATATTATCAGATTTTATAAAATTAATTGTCACTTTGGAGACAAAACATTTTTTGAAATAATTCAAATATATATTTGATTAGAATATTTCAAGCTCGTCTAATTAAAAATTAGTGCCAATCTAAAAATAATCTAAAAAAATTTTAAAAACTTCTATATAAAATAATATTTACTTTGTGTTAATTTTTTAGAATAAAAGAAAATCTTTTTATTATATTAATCAAGTCTTAAAAAATTAATCATTCTGTTAGATGGAGCCTATGACTCTAGGATCACCGATGAATAGTCCTGTCCAAAGTCCTGGTAGTCCAGGAAATTCTTCCTCGTATTTGCCAAGTTTTCTCTTGGGTGACACTAACACTGTGAGAAGTACATTTTATTATTAATTTGAAAAATATAAGTCTGCATTGCTAATATCTTTTTAAAAATTCCAGCCCGCAAAGATCAACATAATAAGTCCTCAAGATAATCCACGCCATTTGAACCTAACCAATACCAGTGTGATGTCACCAGTTTCCTACGGCTCTCCGGATTACCGGTCTAATCGTCAGAAGGCGGTGTTTGGATCTACAACTCCTAGCACACCACAAATAAGCACAAAAAATCATACCGGAGGACCGCCAACGCGAGGACTATTCGACACTCTGGAAGTCACGCACATATCACCATCTGTGGCAGTCACAAATCCGCCTATCACAGCCACACCTATAAATCAGTCCAAACTCATGATGAATACTTTAAGCAGTCCACTGATATTTCCAGATAGTTCATTCAATTTGAGCACAAACGAATCGCAAAGTCTACTGCAATGGGTGACGGTTTTCGGTTTCCTACCCATCGATGTCAACGCCGTTCTGTCTCACATCTCCAGCAGAGTTCGTATAGTGGATAAACATCCAGCTCCACAACCCCAAAGCAACTGGATACATTTGAAGTGTGCGTCAGAGCAGGAAGCGCAAAAGGCTCTTATGTGCAATGGTAGTATCGTTTCGGGCACAATTATGATTGGTGTCATTCCATGTACGGACGAGGGCGTCGTTCTGGGTTGCGACAAGGAAAACCGTGCCAAGCTGAATGGAAGCATGAGATCGCTTTCAATGGGCAGAATCAGTCAATCCCCCTTTAATTCATCGCCTACCGCGAGACGACGAAAGCTGAGATCTTTAGCAGCGGGTTACAATCAACATTTTAGCCCACAAACCGCGCAGATGCCGGAAAATGTTCCACAGAAGTCGGCCAGTTTAGTTTCAAAAGCAATGGAATATGTGTTCGGTTGGTAGTTGTTTTTTTTTTTTAGTAATAATTATACAATTGAACTCTTTATATTGAAAATATATTAAAAATTATAGAAAGGAAACTATGATAAACAATATATTAATCTTTTGGAAGGAAACTTTTAAGCGGGACATTAACTTAAAGATTAAACGAAATTATTATCTATTATCCTAAAAATAAACTTTTCTATAACTTTGAAAATAATTACTGTAAGAGCGTCTCTGTGAAGGCTGTTACTTTTTTAAGACTATTGTAATATGCATATTATCACATGTTATATTTGTATGTATCTTTACAATTATATTACCTTATATAGGCTAATAGCCGGAGTCATATGTAAGTCTTAATTTGCGTGTGATATTGCGTGTCTATTCCTAGTAAATATTGCATGTACACAAAGTCTGAAAATACCTCTACCTGTTATGTTAACATTACATTTCGAAAGACAAGAAATAATCGCAATAAGCATTCTTATCTCTTATACTTACTAATTGTAACAACGATGTATTAATTTAATCATTACATTCTTATTATAACAGATTAATGATTCTACACACCATCTTCCTCTCTAATTTGTTATACAAGATTAAAATTCGAATATACTTTTCTACAAAATGAATATAGCAATTTACACAAGATTACATTTAAAGGTCAATTCAAGACATTCATTTATCGCATTTATAAATAAGGCTGAGAAACGCTCTCAATCTCTGTCTACTATAAAATTATTTTGTTTCTTCAATTGTGGCACTACCTAGATCAGTCATCTTGTGATATTTTACTTTTTTCTTGTCTAATTCCTCTTGAGCCCATAGTATCATCTTCAACAGATTATTGAGACGAGGGCTGGTAGATTCTCTGTGTTCCATTTTCAATATAGCAGCATTCAATTCGCTTGCAATCTATAATGGCATAACATCAGGAAATAACAAGTCAAGTTAGCAAAAAATGAGGCTTATTATAGGATGTAAGCGTATTGGCCAATCACAGAAACTATAAGGTTATAATCTAAGCAATGACCAACGTGTCGATTTGTTTATGGATCATCTACAATAGGAATAATATTAGATCTGTTCTTTTTAGTTTTTTCTTCTAAAGTTCTTGCATGGTACATCTTTCTTCTTTTTCTCCTCATGTTGGAAAGAAAAAGAGAAAAGATGAACCATGCAAGAAGTTTAGCTAAAAAGAACAGACCTATTGTGTAGTAAGCCATAAACAGTAAGAAATTACTAGTCATAGTCGATTATTCACCTCACATTTAACTGTGATTGATCAATTCTTTAAGACAGCTTACTGCACCATATTACTCCTTTTTTGCAGACAGTCCTTTATTATTTATATCTTACTGTTCAAATTTTTCTGTATGCCATGACCTTGGTAATACTTACTTTTTGTCTATGTGTGGGATGTAGAAGGTCGCTGAATGGGCTCTTATGTGGTTCATCAAAAGCCAACAGTGCCAATGTACGTTCCAACTCGCACAATATATTATCATCTGACTCGCCAGCTTCGCTGAGTTGATCCTGGGCGAACTGAAGCGCCTCCTCGACTCTGCCTGTGCGTATCAGTTCAATCAAATGCAACTGTTGCAGGTGAAAGTAAAGATATCTGTCGTTGTCCAACAATTCAGGATGTAGCTGATTCACCAAATCTGTCGCTTCCTGGATATGACCGTTCTGTATAGCGTCTCGAATACGGATCCTGTCATCCAGGGAGCTCAGTTCCACCGTCGGACCTACTCCCGACTCCTGTTGGAACTTCTCGGCAGCTTCCTTGAATCCTTCTAATCATCGAAATATTACCGCGACAATTCTTTCAGATTACAATAGATTCTAGAATTCATTACCTGTGACTAGATAATTCATGATCATGTTGTTCATTGACATTTTTTGGATGTAAGTCTTCTCTTCCAGTTTCGATATCCATTCTTCCTTGAGTAGGCTATCCAGTCCTTTCTCTGAGAAATTCATTGTTATCCAAAGATTCAACTTGACTAATCTCAGAAATTAACACTTAGAGCATTATGCTCTATCCGATACAATCTTTCGAAAAATCGCAACAGCTGATTAACACGAGACGTGGAAGCTCGACCAAAACAAAAGGAAACGTCACTTTTGTCACTCCGCGGTAATTCTAAAATCGCTGAACTCCTGACGAAAAAAAACGGCGAGAAGCGTCGACCGGAGGATAAAAGTGATTTTGCGTGTGCAAAGATATTCCGAGCGTTAAGCTTTATCTGCGTCGCGAATAGAAGCAAAATCGAGAATCTTTCAAGAGCACCTTAACGTATAAAAAAGAAAAAGAGCAACGAAACACTTGTCATTAAACGGAACCGACCAATCGTGATTTAGCATCCTTGAAAATTCCTATTCCCCGTAGCGATGACGATCGTGATTGGTCTATTCATTTATCATTCAAGCCTTCCCCCTCCCGCCGTTATTTCGTGCTGAAGTTGGAATGGTTATCATGAGAGGACGTTAGTGTACGATTAAAGTAGAGATACTATAATAAAAGTATCTCTAATTAAACGGAGAAATTCGTATCTTTATAGTATCTCTAATTTATAATACAAGTATCTCTACAGTATCTCTAATTAAATAGAGAAATTAGTGACAATCTGGATACGATAGATGGCGCTAGATGATCCGAAATCGAGTTTTCGTTCTTTTTGCTCATTCCGTATTTGTTACGACTTCTAATCATCTCATTTCGATTTCGAAGAACCATAATAATTTAGTTCCCGCCTTTCCGTTCTGGCCATAATGATCTCCGTTTATAAGGAAGCAGGAGCTATGAAAAGAAAACGGAGCTGATTTCGCTTCCAAATAAGAAACAGGCGTCTTCGAGACGAAGCCAAACAAGGAGGTATTAGATTTCTATCAATAATGACTTTATATTTTCAAACAATAAAAAGCTATGATCATGAATCTATACATATCAAGTAACAAAAATCTTGCAATCTTTCAATATTTTTTATCGATCTAATTATATTAAGCCATTAAAGCCTGGTTGTTCCATCCTTTTTTGGTAAATTTTGCCTGTGAGGTAAATCTGGTAATTCGAGCATGTGATTAGGTAATCTTGCTATTTACTCAACAGATGAAATTTACCAGAATAGAACAACCGGCCTCTAATCACATGCGTGGATTGCCAGATTTACCTAATAGGTAAAATTTATCAAAAGATGGAACAACCGGCCCTAAAACTATAAAGACGGATGTTTTAACACAGTCATTACTCGGTTCGTGAAATTTAAGACTTGAATTATGATAGAGTTGTAATGTAGCAAACTTGGAATATTTTGTTTATCATTATACATATTAGAATATAAAAGTTAAAATTATTGCACGTTACGAAAATAACGATATCTCGTGAGGAATGAAATCGATGTCGAATTGACGTCGATTTGATGATTTTGATGTCGATTCCATTATCATTTCTCACTGGGATATATTTCTTTTTAATTAGGAGTTAATTACAGTTGACATGAACGTCGTTCCATCCTTCTATCCTTTTTGGTATTCAATAAATAACAAAGACAGAATGACATTTATGTTGATTGTGTTTTCTCAAAAGAGAAGTTAATTTTCTTTTATATAT